CCCTTTTCTCTGGCTCTCTTCCCCAGACCACGTGCGTTCATCAGAAGAGCGCCTCGTGAGTCAGGTGGTTAGTCAAATCTGATTCCCGCTCCGGAAGCTCGTAATCGATTCTTTCGGCTGCGGATTAGATGATGCATACTCTACAACAGCCTTGAGCTCGAGCTCGCAGGCGACACAAGCTGTAGATATAAGCTACGGGTTAAGGGGCGAGCTTACTGATATTACATGTTTCATTGTATTTCTTATAGCAAGCTATAACAGTGAGCAGGCGGTTTTTCCTCTCTCTCTCTAACGTTACCTGCTGTGCTGTACTAATGCAGACACAGCAGATGTTTGTTGTGCACTATGATTTTGGCGCTTCGAGCTACCAAGCATTAGCAAGCATTAGCACTAATTACTATTTCTTTCTGCTCCGCTGCTGCATTGAGCTGAAACAAATAAGTGGAAGAGCTCACGTGTTTCAGAGTATTATTATAGCAAGCTATAACAGTGAGCAGGCGGTTTTTTCCCTCTCTCTCTAACATTATCTGCTGCGCTGCACTGACACAGTCACGTTCATTTGATTTGGCGCTTACGCTTCCAACACTTTTTCGTGTCCTGCAGCAGATATTTTGTTGTGCACCATGGTCTTGTTACCAGCTGCGCTGTACTAATGCAGACACGTTCATTTTATTTGACGCTTAAGCGTCCAACTCTTGTTCGTGTACTTTTTAGACGCAGACTCTGAGGAGTCCTGCAGCAGATATTTTGTCGTGCACCATGGTCTTGGCGCTTCATGCTACCGAGCGTTGGTCTGCCCGAGTAATATAATATTTCTTTCAGCTCTGCTGCTGCGTTGAGTTGAAGCATTAAGTGGCAAGCTCTTTTAACATTGTTATAATGGTTCAGGTTGTAGAGTTGAGCAGACGGGTTTTCCTATCTCTCTCTCTCTACTTCTGCGCTGCACTAATGCAGGCACGTGCATTTGAATTGGTGCTTACGCTTCCAGCTCTTATTTCGTGTACTGCTTTTAGGCGCAGACTCTAGGAGTCCTGCAGCGGATGTTTGTCATGCATTATGGTCTTGGCGCTTCATGCTACCAAGCATTAGTCTGCCCGGCTGTTAATTTTTCTTTCAGCTCCGCTGATGCTTTGAGCTGGAACAAATCAGTGGGCACGCTCACATATCTAGAGTAAATTCCTATGGCAAGCTGTTTTACACCTAATGCCATAGTGACTCGGGCTGCGGAGTGAGCGGGTTTTTCCCTGTCTCCACTCCTGCACTGCATTAATTAGGGCACGTACATTGATTTGGCGCTTACGCTTCCAACTCTTGTTCATGTGACTGTTTTTAAGCACGGACTCCACAGCTGACATTTGCCGTGCGCTATGGTTTTTGGCGCTTCATGCTACCAAACACTAGTCTGCCCGGCTAATAATTATTATTCTTTCAGCTCCACTGCTGTTTTGAGCTGGAACAAATAGTGGACTCTGTGCTATGAGCTGGCTCTGGAGTTTTGCAACACACATTTGTCATGCAACATGGTTTTTGGCAATAACAGGCTACCAACACTATTTGCATAACTAATCATTATTCTTCTCATCCCAACTGAGATGCACTGAGCTGAGCTACTGTGTGAATGAGTTCACGTGTAAGAGTATCTCTTATGGCAAGCTATTAATGCTCACCATGGTCAGCCTACTTCATGTGATTGATGCGGCGCTTTTGCTACCAACACTCGCTTCACATGACTGGCTGCATTATGTGACTGCAGCATACATTATTGTGCACTAGAGATGTTGGGTGCTTCATGCTACCAAGCAGTGGTTTGCATGACTAATTACTCTGTTCTTTTCAGCTCCGCTGTTGCATTGAGCTGGAACTGTGTATGAATGTGGGCAACCTACAAGTGTGTTTGCCTCTCTATCAGTTGTTCCGCCGCTTGTTGCGTTTCGGACTGATTTTGACTGTTCCCACGCCTTAGCTTTGGAGATCGAGAGGATAGCCCTAAAGCCATTGGTGCAGGGTCTATGTTGACATCCAAGTCCCCACTCTGTGGTTGGTGCTGGCATGCCTGATTTTAGTATCCGTTCCTGTTTCCGAGGTTTTTCCCGCAACTCAGGTGTCTCGGGCCCTCATGAGGGAGGATCAGGCTGTCGTATGGTTACACCATCCAGCTTCTATGGGTTGATTGGATTTGCGTCACCTAACCTTGTGCTTGGAGTAAGCAATTTCAAGATGCTGACGCAGAAGTTCATCCTGTCTCTATCTGAACCAGAGATTGGTTTGTGACCATCGATCTAAGGATGCGTACTTCTGCATCCAAATCGTCAAGAGACATAGGAAGTTCCTCAGGTTTGCTTTTGGAATAAAGCTTGCCAATATTGTATTCTTCCATTGAACTGGCCTCGAACGCAAGGTGAATGGATGCGTCTCTGGCCCTGTTGTGCGGGGTGTCTGAGTTTGAGTTACCTTGATGATTGGCTGATATTAGCTCAATCACACAAACTGTTTGGAACAGCGTTTTCTGGCACTTCAACGGTTCTTACCCAATTGAGTGGTTGTCACATTAGGTCAAGGACTGACAACACGGCTGTGGTCTCATACATGGATTGTCAGAGAGGATTACG